CCCCAAAACCCCAAAACCCCAAAACCCCAAAACCCCTTTGAAAATCTATTTTTAGAATAACCTTACTTCCTTGGTCAATTCGTCATTAAATAATTTATACAACTTCTATATGAAGAATTCATTTGCTTACTTACCTGAATAGTTTGTTCTTCGTACTCTTTGTTAACAAGTTGCTTTTTGCCTATGATCTTAGCTTCAAAATCATTGATCTTAGAGATGTAATCTCTGATTAGAATATTCCGTTTCTCCTGAAATATAAGCTCGGCTTGTTCTTTGTGGCCTGAAGATAGAACATTTTCATAGGTATTATAGGAAGACAAGAAGTTACTGGCTGCAATGTCTATAGGCCCTGTATTGGAGATCTTGATTCACTCCTTGCGTAACTTCTTCACATCATTCTCAAAATTGTTAATGAACTTGTGGCATTCAATTAGGAAGTCATTTTTCATCTGTTTAATAGAGGCTTCTCCCCGAAGAACCAAGCCTTTGATTATTTTATTAATCTCAGTGATTTGAAGTTTCTGGAAAGACACTACAGAGTCAATGTTGTTCTGAGGTGTGGCATCTTTAAGCTTCTCTTTCTCCTTTTTCTTAATATCTTGCATTACTGATTTGGCAGTGGAGAATACGTTGGTCTGGAGCTCAAGCTTGTTACGTTCAAGGTATTCAGGAATCTCTTCAAAGTTATCTTTTGCAAGAGGATACATGGCAGATCTACTTCTCCAGTTTTTTTTCCTGTTCCGAACCATATCATAAACTACGTTGTTGTAGATGTTCTCTGCTGATACATGTGGAGGTTTGGAGGTCAAAACTACTGAATGCGTTGTAGGCATTATGCGTCAGTTCTCCAGCATTTTAACTTCATTTACAATATCAGCCTTGGATAGGGAAGCTCTAAAGGGTCTAAACCATACCATACCTGAGCCTAGTGATATATGCTCCGTTATTTCTCATCATGAGTGTTTATAACCTTGAATCTTCTTTTGATCTCAATTTCTTGTCTCTTATTTCTGGTCGAACAGAAGTTTCGAGAGGCCTACTAAACCTTCTTTTGGGCGGCCGAATGAATTTCCAAATTTCTTAAAATGGTTTGGCTTAAGTTTAGTCTTTCTCTGTAGAAACATCTTCGGAATCTATAGCAGTAACATTGTATCAAACCTTGGTTGAGTTTTGGGACCAGTTTAGTGTATCAGCTCTTATAAAAACTCCCTTTGATGACTCCTCTTCAGCTTCTCTGTCAATGATTTATTAGGAAAGAACTTCGAAGGAGTCTTGTCATTATTTTTAATACTATCTAGGGTCCCAAATCTGACATCCTGCATCTGATTGGTATTTGATCGAATTACCTTTTTCAAGACTGCCTGTGTACTGGAAGGAGGAAGTCCTTGCTTTCTAGTCGCTATCTCTTTTAAGTTCAGTAATTTCATGGATGAATTAAATTTCTATAAGGATTACAAGCCCAAATTTACCTTCTTTCTTGGCCCACGCCTAGCTTTGCTAGACTTGAGGGCAGAAGCAATGGTCGCATTCAGCTTGGCCTTCCTCTTCGGGAGTATAATAATTGCTTTATTTCTGCTTCTTGAGATTAAGCTTATTTGTCAACTTTTCTGCTAAATTAAAAATTATTTTGTGCAAAGAATCAAGCCGAAAGTTTGTACTAGGAAATTTAGGAATTTGAGGACCTACAGGACTTTGTTAAGCTTGTCGGTTTCTTTAAGGAGTTTTATTTTAGCAAGAATTCGTTGTGCAAGAGGAGTAAGTTCGATCATTTTAGGGTTAATAATTATTTTTAGAAGAAGGGGTTTTGGGGTTTTGGGGTTTTGGGGTTTTGGGG